TAAGTCAAAAGGAGTGAGAAGAGCCGCATATAAACTTCCTAATTGAAACGTGGTGGGTAGCGCGTTGACTATGTCCATTTATATATATGGTCTATGTTTGCCAGTTGCACGGTCTCGTACCACCACAGAGTAAACGCCACCGCAAGGAGCTGGTTGGGCAATTTTGTTACCGTGACTTACCGAGACCATTTTACTTATTGTTCTGGTTGTGTTTGGTTCAACAGTGGTTTATTCAAGTGCATTTTTGTTAAGTTCTTAGTGTGAGCAAGACTACATCAGGCTATTCTTATGTTAACAAGTCTGTTTTATTTGATTTAGGCCTTATTTTATTTAGGCCTGATTTAATCCTGGTTTAGACCTGGTTTAGATGCGGTTTAGATGCGGTTTAGACCCAGTTTAGACCTAATTTAGACCTAATTTAGACCCAGTTTAGACCCAGTTTAGACCAGGTTTAGTTCTAGTTTAGACCTGGTTTAGTCCCAGTTTAGTCCTAGTTTAGACCGGGTTTAGTTCTGGTTTAGACCGGGTTTAGACCTAGTTTAGACCTGGTTTAGACCCAGTTTAGACCTGGTTTAGACCCAGTTTAGACCTGGTTTAGTCCCGGTTTAGACCTGGTTTAGTTCTAGTTTAGACCTGGTTTAAACCTGGTTTAGACCTGGTTTAGACCTGGTTTAGTCCCAATTTAGACCTACTTTAGACCCGGTTTAGACCTGGTTAACTCCCGGTTTAGACGCAATTTAGACCTAGTTTAGACCTGGTTTAGATCCAGTTCCTAGTTTAGATCCAGTTTAGACCTAGTTTAGACCTAGTTTAGACCCAGTTTAGACCTAGTTTAGACCCGATTTAGACCCGATTTAGACCTGGTTTAGACCTGGTTTAGACCTGGTCTACTGAGGTTGCCTTACAAAATAATGTCATTAAAAACAGCTCTAAAATAAAAGCAGTGCGGGTTTAGTCCATGCATGAGATAAAATGATAAAATATGTTTATTTTGTAATTCCAAATGAGCTTAAACGGGCCGGTCAGAGTCGTCCAAAGAGCCGTATGTGTCCCTGGAGCTGAACAATGCCCAAGTCTGAGATATACAGTCCTGTGTAATGGTCAATGATCAGCTCGGGTCTTTTAAGGAAAAAGTCCAGAGCCAGTCCTCTGTCAGTCCGAGCATGTGGTTTGGAGCACAACTCAGACTTTGGAGGAAGAAACTGGACCATTTTGTGTTTTACATGGCAATTATAAAAAGCCGGTTCTGTTTATGTTCAGGAAACGAATATTGAAAGCCCATTGTATTTAAAAAAAGAACAAAAATCGCGTTGAAGTGAAAATTGTGATTGATCAATGAGGAAACTACAGAGCGCTCAGTTGTTTCAAATTACCCTGCCCTACTTCCTGCAGCCAAACAGCAAAAGAAGTACACACACATAAAGAAGTACACGCATGTAATGAAGTACACACGTGAAGTAAACACGTAAAGAAGCACACACACGTAAAGAAGTACACACGTGAAGTAAACACGTAAAGAAGCACACACACGTAAAGAAGTACACACGTAAAGAAGTACACACACGTAAAGTAGTACACGCACGTAAAGAAAAACACACGTAAAGAAGCACACGCACGTAAAGAAGTACACACAGACGTAAAGCACACACACACGTAAAGAAGTACACACACGTAAAGTAGTACACGCATGTAAAGAAGCACACACGTAAAGAAGAAAACACGTAAAGTACACACACGTAAAGAAGCACATACACATAAAGAAGAAAACACGTAAAGAAGTACACACATGTAAAGTAGTAAATACGTAAAGAAGTAAATACGTAAAGAAGCAAACACGTAAAGAAGTACACACATAAAGAAGTACACACATGTAAAGAAGTACACACACATAAAGAAGTACACACACGTAAAGAAGTACACACACGCACTCGATTACAGTTCAAGTGAACCATTAGGCCAAATGATCTTTCCATAGACTAATCCAAGGAAAAGCCAGAGTGAGAGGGATACATGTGAGCACCGCGGCTGATGCACGAGGGTCAATATTCAATTAAGTCTAAGAGGCCTTGAGCCTTTAATAAAGAGCTGCTCTGGCGTGGAGCTCAGGTCCACAGAGAACGGGCCTCCAGGGACCCGGTGTGGTGTAGGATTGTGACCCCGCAGTGAGGTGACCCCGGGGTCAACATACCATATAGTATTTTGACCCTGGGATCAGAATCCTATAATGGTATGTTGACCCCCCCATGAAAATTTATATTTTATTAATAAACAACTTGAATTCTATAGAAAAACTTTGAATATTAATACTATATCTGCAAATTAAAACATATTGACATATTTAAAAGTGTTTTTTTGAAGAACTCAGATGCATTTTTTATGTTGATTATAACTTTTGAATGTTAAAAATTACTTAGTTGTTTAAACTAGGGTTGTCCCGATCCGATCACGTGACTGCAGACTCGACCCGGACTCTGACGTCATGGTCCAATCAGGTATCGGATAAATAATATACATATATAACACACAGCGCACACAGGACACACAGCACCCAACAGTTTTTCTGAGGAGCGGGATTTGCTCAGGGACGTCCACTTAGTGCGACTGTCTGTCCCAGCGCCTGCTGTACTAGAGGAGCACTCGCTCTGGGACTTCTGGGCCGTGCTGTACTCTGGCGCTGTTACCTGGGGTTCTGTGGCCCGTGTTCACACCTGCGCGGATGATGGCGTCATCGCACGGCGCTGTTCGATTGCATGTTGCAGAATGGAGTTGGCGCTTTTGGCAGGGAGGGTGGGAAAAGCGGCATGAAGTGTCTATTGAGCGGTGGGGCCGATGTTGCGGTGCTCTCCGCTGCGGGTTTGTGGATGTGGTGGCGGTGCAGGGGACAGAGGCTGTGGAGCTTCTGTCATCTCGTTTATATTTGGTAAGATTTTGTATTATTTGGATTTCAAAGACGAGCCTAAATGTTTCAAATGTAATGCACATGCCTCCATATAATATCAAATATACAAAGTGTAGATTGTGCAGAGTCGAGTCTCAGGTCTGATCTGATTCTGGTCTGGTTCCTGTTTTGTCCAGTTCATTAAGTTTACTAAGTTAAACATTCCAAGACCAGACAGTGAAAAGTAAAGATTTTCAACAATGATGGTGCATGGTTAGTTTTTAATTGATTAGTTATTAGTTAATTACTATCTCACACCGGCCTGGACCTGGCATTCAGTTTGAGTCAGGTCGCCAAAAACACGCCAGTAAACCAAACTAAGTAAATACAACGAGCTCAGTTTATAGGGTTTAGTGCTGAGAGATAAGCAGCTCTTAAAAGATCTCTAATGGCAACTATAACTATTTTACTGCCACAGTTGAGACTAAAGGACCTGTACATGACTTCAAACCATGAGCGAGGCACATTTGGTAGTCCCTCCTCTCACTTTTAATAGCTCCAGGTCAAATACTTTACTGGCAGACAACGTCATATAATCTACAACACTCGGGAATCATCATGTTATAAACTGGACCATTTAAAATCGCAGTGACGGTAAAAACGGGAGTTGACTGGCAATAGAATGTCTTGTAGATAACAGATAAAAAATTTGCTCAAACATGCACAAATGACTCAAAGTACAACTCCCTCTGCTCGGTCTGAAGCTCTGTTACTCAAATTAGACTTAATCAGAGTTTTGTTTTAACGCAATCTGACTGTAAAAAACAAAAACTCTCCATGAAAACTGCCTAACATTCTTCCACAGACATTGGCTACGTTCAGACTGCAGGGCTTAATGTTCACTTCGGATTTTTCTTTGTTAAGTCTGAGTTTTTTGCAAGGTCGTTCACATTTGCGATTAAAATCCTAGTTTAGACCTGGTTTAATTCTAGTTTAGACCCTTTTTAGCCCTAGTTTAGACCCTTTTTTAGACTCTTTTTTAGACCCTTTTTTAGACCTAGTTTAGACCCAGTTTAGACCCGGTTTAAACCCAGTTTAATCCTAGTTTAGACCCAATGCTAGTTTACACCCGGTTTAATCCTAGTTTAGACCCTTTTTAGTCCTAGTTTAGACCCTTTTTAGACCCGGTTTAGACCCAGTTTAGACCCATCTTAGACCTAGTTAAGACCTAGTTTAGACAAAGTTTAAACCCAGTTTAATCCAAGTTTAGACCCTTTTTAGACCTGGTTTAGACCCAGTTTAGACCCAGTTTAGACCCGGTTTAGACCCGGTTTAAACCCGGTTTAGACCCAGTTTAGACCCAGTTTAGACCCAGTTTAGACCCAGTTTAATCCTAGTTTAGACCTGGTTTAGAGTAGTAGTCTTAGAATATATGTTAATTTCTCCATTTTATAAATTTCTGAAACTTTACCAAACCAGTCCTCAAGTGTTGGGGGGGTTGGATTTAGCCATTTCCTAGATATTGATTTTTTGTTGGCCTCTAGAAGTGCCTGTAGTAGTTTAATATCCACCTCCTCGGTCCAAGATTGTGTTTAGACCCAAATACATAAATGAAAAGTCACCAGGAAACTGAACAGCAAAAATACCATTTAGAGCTTTATATATTCCAGATCAGTTATGTCGTAATGTCAGACATTCCCAAAATACATGAAAATGGTTCACCTCCACAGATCCACATTTCCTCCAGCATTTGGCATTTGCATTTTTATATTTATATTTATATATATATTTTTTTATTAACTTTATTTATTTATTTATTTTTTTTATTAATTTAATTTAAAAAAAAATTATTTTTGGGATTGCAGATGGTGCCTCCACTGGTAGAAAAACAGCGCCAAAACCTGTTTAAATCAGCTGAAAAGACACGTGACCACTCAATCAATCAAAACTATCAGGTATGAAAACAAACTCTTGGTCTGAAAAAGAACCTCATAACCTTAATTATCGGAAGCCCAAAAGAACCTCACTGGACTAAACACGCCGTCCCCCCCAACACGACGTCACAGCAAAAGTTCCAGTCCAGGCCAATCCCATTACACAAAGTGGTGAGCGCTGTACTTACGGATGGGGCTTCATCTCTATGTAGTTCTTGGGAATGAAGCCATCTTTTCCATTTAGCTCCGCCTTGTACCAGTTCTGATCACATTCTTCATTTAATACCTGCAGAGGACAAAAAAAAAAAAAAAAAAAAACAGGGTTAAATATGATACTTTTTAGTCAAGCAGAGACAGAGACTCGGTGCAATTATAAACAAAATAAAAATCTAATTTTACAGAAATACCTAGAAGACCAGAGCCACAGTCTTCACAAGTAAAACCACGATTATTAATGAAACACAAGTTTTTTTTTAACATTTCCTTTTAACGATACATTTTGTGAGTCATTATCAGTATTATTAGTTTGTACGACCATAAACGAAAACAAAAACTTAAACCACAATGAGAACTGACAAATTTTGTACGATCATAAACGATAAACTTTTGCACCTTCGTTAACATTATTATTACTACTACGACTACGACTACTACAACTACTACAACTACTACAACTACAGCTACAGCAACAACTACTACAACTATTACTACTATTACAACTACTACAACAACTACTACTACTACAACTACTACAACAACTACTACAACTACTACAACAACTACAACAACTACAACAACTATTACTACAACAACTACAACAACTATTACTACAACAGCTACAACAACTACTACAACAACAACAACTACTACAAGTACTACAAGTACTACTACTTCTACTACAAGTACTACTACTTCTACTACAAGTACTACTACTACTACTACTACTGCTACAACTACTGCTACAACAACTACTACAATAACTACTACAACTACAAGAACTACTATAGCAACAACTACTAGTACAACTACTACAACAACAACAACTACTACAACTACTACTACTACTACTAGTACAACTACTAAAACTACAACTACTACAACAACTACTACAACTACTTTTGCAACAACTACTGCAACAATTACTGCAACTACTACAAGTACTACAACAACTACTACAACTACTTTTGCAACAACTACTGCAACAATTACTGCAACTACTACAACGACGACCACTACAACAACTACAACAACTACTACAACAACTGCAACTACTACTACAACTGCAACAACTACTACTACTACTACTACAACAACTACAACTACTACAACTAAAACAACAACTACTACAACAACAACTGCAACAACAACTACAACTACTAGAACTACTAGAACTACAACTACTACAACAACTATTACAATTACTACTACAACTACTGCAACTACTACAACAGTTTGAGAACCAACACAGGATAAAGTGAGGATGAGAAAGAGATCAACAGATTCCTTCATAAACAAGTCGAACCTTGAGTCAAAACCGTGTTTCAGAACTATTAACCCGACCCGTTTAGTCCCTCTCAGACTCTTTTAATGAACCGTGACAGAAAAACAACAGTGTGAGGATAAACACACGCAGTTGTTTCCAGATGGGTTTAATTCAACAACTTGCCAGACAGAGATAGTGTCACAAAAACGAGCGAGATAATGACTTTTAAAACTGTGTATCTGAGCATCTTCAGTCACTTTCTTCTTAAATAGCTGCTTTTACGTTACATTTTTCCCTTTTACAGTGGGAAAATTGGACGTGGTGTTAGTAGGAAAAGTAAAAGTACAGATACCGGAGCAAAAAAAAAAAGAATACTCAAGTAAAAGTAAAAGTATCAAATGAAAAAAATCGACTAAAACTATTAAAATGTCTTTTACAAACGTACTTAAAGAGTAAAAAGTAGAAGTATTTGGCATAGATTTTGAGGTCTTGAGTCTTACTTCTGAGTCTAGTTTAAGTCTAAGTCTAGTAAAAAGTACACATACTTGCACTTTAGGTATGTAACGATATCCAAATCTTTCAGTACGAACATTTCACGGTACGATATTTATTGCAATATTTTGGAGAGGCTGATATAATTGTAGATGGGACACTTTTTTTGCATTTAAAATACCTTGACAAGATTTTGGTGCGAATTATTTCCATCATAATCCCAAGAATTCAAGTAAAAAACATATTTCTTCATGTTGTCTGCACTGAAATGAATCATGGGATATGTAGTTCTCTATGTTTATAAGCTGCTGTTACTATAAAACCATGCATTTAAGCAAAGAAACTTTTAATTCGATATATTGTGACAGTCCACGATATTATTGAGACTTCTGACGATACGATATCATGATATTTTGGTTATCGTTACATCCCTAATTCTCTCAGATGTAGTGAAGTAAAAGTAAAATGTATCTACTTTAAAATCTACTTCAGTAAAATTACAAAAATTTGTACTTAAGTATAGTACTTTGTTATGTTCCACCAGTGAGTTTAGACATGATTACATTTGGATTTCGACAGAGTTCAAGCTGCAATAATTTGATGTTACTGTAATTTTAAAAAATAACTATTAAAATGAATTGTTTATGATTTGTGAAACTGATTCTCTTATCGAAAAGGTCTGTACCTGATTTCTTTTTCATGTATTCGCACATACAGTATTATAACGGCAGCTCTTTGGGTTAAAATGAAATTATTGGGTGCTGTCTGCATTGATAAAGAACCAGGAAGTGTGTGGTTAGCATGCAAATGTGGGTCGGCCATACTGTGACGGCAAAACTCCACGCAAAAAAAGCAAAAAGAAAAGTGTTAGTAAAGTATTTGCAGTAAATAATTAGGATGATAGGGTGCATTAGGTGCTACAAAAGATTACAAATTAACTAGTTGTGTTTATTTTATTTTCCCATTTTATTTTGTTTAATTTCAATTTTATTTTTTCTATTTATTTTATTTAATTTTATTTTATTATTTTAGAATTTTTATTTTATTTTATATTTTTATTTAATTTAATTCTATTTTTTATTTTATTTTTTATATTTTATTTTTTGTTTTTTTATTTGTTTAATCGTTTTTTATATTTTATTTTATTTTTATATTTTTATTTTTTTTTATTTTATTTTTTTAATATATATTTTATTTTATTTTATTCATAGTTTTATCACTTTTAGCTTTATGCATGCGAACACTTTTTATTTATTTGTTTTTAAAAATGATTTACAGTCTTTTATTGCATTAATTTGTCTGTGCAGCACTTTGGAAACTGTCATGTTTACAAAATGTGCTGTATAAATAAAGTAGACTGGATTGGATCTGATATAAATCTGATGAAACTCGCAGCGCTAAAAGTCGACGGATAATACAGACCTCAATTCTTGCGACACACTTCCTGCATGTTTCTAATTTGGCCCGAAGGGATAGACATTTTGAGAGGAAAAAAAAAAAAAAAAAAACAGAAGCAGCTTGATATAGATGTTGCATAATCATGAGTCTGTCTTGACTCTGAGGCGGTGGGCGGAGGAGGGGGCTTAATTTGCCTCGTCACATCTGGTTAGCCGGGGCTCTGCGGTGAAGGAACTACTTTGCACCTTCTCCGCAGACGTCTCCGCTAAAGGCGCTCTCCGTCGGCCGCCCGCTTTGATCAGCGCCCATCTGCATAATTCACCCGGAGAGCTGTTTAGGAGCGAGCAAAAATGGAAAACGCCACGGTAATCTCGTATCCGTACATAAAAGCCATCTCTGTCACCCTTTGGTAAATCTTGTGATGTGGGTTTTTCCTGCGCTGTCATCTCTTGTGGAGGTGAGTTTTTGACCAGATGAAAGCAGACGTACGTCGGAGCGGTTCGCGTTAGAAGAACCGCAGCTCCGGTGATGCCGCAGGACGCCAGCTGCTACAGGCCGTGCCCACCTGCCGCCACCGCCTCACGGGCACCGGCGCGTCGGCATGAACGCACAAGACCTGGATGGATCTAGATCTGCCCTGACAGCTGCCACGATTACATGACAGAGCTGTAATTCAGAATAAAGATGATTTAACTCTGAATAAAAACGAGTTCTGCTTTAAAAAGACCATGTAAACACTTAATAAAAATGATGATTCGGAATTGAACTTAATTCCGAAGTAAGTGGGTGGTTTATTCCAGTTTTAAAGCCAAATTAATTTATTCCTCGATCATGTAAACGTTTATTCTTCTTAAAAATAATTCCGGTTGTTCAGCGCATGCTCGTTGGGTCGTCCTTCCCTTTCCGGCTCCACCAGTCCTGGCTTCACTTCATATTTCATTGAACAACTGTAACGGCACTGTTCTCCTCTGTGATTTTTTAGTTTAGTTTTATTTTGTTTTGTATAATTGAAAAATGAAAAAAATAAAAATTACACAAAAAAAAGTGCTTCAGAACTGTTATTTCTTCTTGCAGTCTGCACTGAAATGGAGCAAAGGATTATGGTCTATGTAGTTCCCTCTGTCTTTTTTTTTAACTATTTCTGCACCATAACTCTTAATTTAAGCAAAGAGACTTGTAATTCTTTATATTCTGATGGTCCACGATAGGGGTGGGCGATATCTTGATATTTTAAATATATCGAGATGTTTCTTAAACTCGATATGGATTCTGACATATCGTATATATCGATATAATGCTTATATTCAATTCTGATTTCACCGCACTGCTTGTTTGCCTTCTCTGTGCATGCCACCGCCTCCCAGATTTTGCCGTTTGTGTCTCATTCACTCCTCACTATTGCTGTGAAAGCCGAAAGTTGCTGTCAGTGAAAAGCTTCTAACACCATGAACCTTTAACACTGATTACAGACAAGACCATCAGCAGCACATCCTCACAGAAAGAACACTCACATTCCACCGAGTCCTGTCCTTTAGTTCGAAAAAAGCGGAACCGCATCAGCGACACGAGGAGAACGCCGTTTATGCAAATGAGTCATGCGCTTTTAAGTTTCGTTTCTGTAAAAAGTAAACACACGTGGCAAAACTGAATTAAACATATAATAATATCAAACAGACTGATGTGGCTCTAGAGTCGTTATGGTTTATATATGTTGTAAAGTTCAGGGATGTAAACGTATTTATGCAGAATTTTAATTAATAAACTGCTGCAGTGTCACTTGTACAATTGTGCTTGGAAACGTTGGGTTTGATCTGCGCAGTGGATTGTGGGAAACCTCACCGCTCCTTAGGCTGGAAGTTAGGAACCTCCCGAGCCTCCTGTGCTGAAGGAGCTCATGGTTCTGGTTATTTCTG